TTGGCAGCCAATCGCCGCCAGTCATCCCCTCGCCCCGCCCCTTCCATCCCCACCGCCCCCCGTGCCGGGCCGCGGATTGGCTGCGCCGGCGAAGCCGCCCACTGGCCGTCAAGCGCCCGGATTGGCCGAGCACCGCCTCGCGGCGACACCTCCGGGGGGCGGTGGTGGCGGGAGCGCGGGCACGTGGGGCTGAGGGGGGGGGCGCGGCGGTGGTTTGTTTTCTCCTCTCCCGCTCGGGCTCTGCCGCGAGGGCGGGGTCACGTGACGGGGGGTGTCCCGCGAGCAGCGGCAGCGCGTCACGTGAGGCGGGCAAGATGGCGGCTCCCGCGGACGGTAAGGCGCGAAGGCCGGGCGGTACCGCCGCTCCGCTTCCCGTCCCTCCGGCGGGGCCCGGGCGGTGCCTCACCCCCTCTTTTCCTCCCCTCTCTGTTACAGGCGCCGACCTGGAGGCCTCGCTGCTGAGCTTCGAGAAGCTGGACCGCGCCTCCCCGGACCTGTGGCCCGAGCAGCGTAAGTCCGGCGGCCCCGCCGCCCTCTGTCGCCGGGGAGGGCGGGGGACGTCGGTCGGGCCGGGAGGGTGTGTGCGGTGCTGCCGCCCTCACCCCCCGCCGCCCTCGGTTGTCTCTTCGCAGTGCCCGGTGTCGCTGAGTTCGCCGCCTCCTTCAAGAGCGTGAGTGAGCGCGGCTCTGCCGCTCCCCTTCTCCCCTCCCCTCCGGTGGCGGGTCTGCCCCGCGCCCGTGTGGGTGGGCTCCACACGGCGTGTCTCGGTGATAGCTTCGGTATACGTTAGAACAATCCGTTTGGTTTCAGTGTTTCTTTTACATAACCTCATGGAACTTGCTGTGAATGAGAGTTGCACCTCGGATGAAAGAAAAGGTTTCAAGCTTTAGGAATCACAGAACTGGGTTAGAAAGGACCTGTAAGATCATCTGAGTCCAGTTATTAACCTATTGCTGCCCACATCACAACTAAACCATGTCCCTCTGCACTATGGCTGCCTGGTTTTTAAATATCTCCAAGGATGGTGATTCAGCCACTTCCCTGGGCAGCCTGTTCCAATGTTTGATAACCCTTTTGTTGAAGAAAAACTTCCTAATATCTAACCTAAACCTCCCCTGGTGCAACTTGAGACTGTATCATCTTGCCCTATTGCTTGTTGCCTGGGAGAAGGGACTGACCTCCACCTCGCTACAACCTCCTTTCAGGTAGTTGTAGAGAGCGATAAGGTCTCCCCTCAGCCTTCTTTTCTCCAGGCTGAACAACCCCAGCTCCCTCAGCTGCCCTTCATAGGGCTTGTTCTCTAGACCCTTCACCAGCTTTGTTGCTCTCCATTGGACATGCTCCAGAATCTCAATGTCTGTCTTGTAACGAGGGGCCCAAAACGGAGCATAGTATTTATTTGAGGTGCAGCCTCGAAATCCCACTTTTCTTACTGACTTTAGGTTGTTGTTGGTAGTATGCTATTTCTAACATTAAAAAGTCCAGGGAAAGCTAGAAAACAAGATTAAACATAGCAATATCTCTGTAAGCACCAGGAACTCATATTTTTGCTGTCAGTGTAACTAGTTTTTGGATATTTTTTTGGTACAATTTTAAAAATGCGTTTGTCTGCATATGAACTTTTTTTTTTTTAAAAACAGCCTATTACAAGTTCTCCTCCCAAGTGGATGGCTGAATTAGAAAATGATGATATCGATATGTTAAAGGGTGAGTATGGACATTTTGTGTAGGAAGTAAGGTTGCCAAAGCAGATGGGAAATTCAGGACTTACTTAAGAGGCTTAAAACACTTGTTCTTTAAATGTTCTGGAGGTGAAGGAGTGGGCAGTAGTCCTTTTCTGTTGCTCTATACTCATTTTAGAGGTGGTTTTTCTCCTGGATGCCCAAATGCTTGTGTACTTTTTTTTTTGTCATTATACTGTTGATTTGTCTCATTTCTGAAGGCAGGAGCTACATTTGCAGAATCTCCAGCTCAGGAGTCTGTTTATCTTGTTCATTGGACTAATGAAAAACTTACATCACTTTCTCCAGGAGAATATCCAGATGTCAGTGGCAGACTGATTTTTTTTTTTTTTTTTTTCAAAACAAGCATGCAAGAACTGTTTGAAGCAGTGTGTCACTGCATGTATTTCAGTTATCTTGCTTACCAGTCTCTTAATGTATAAGTATAGTGGCTTTCTCCTGTATTTTAAGAAATGGCATGAATTTTTTAATGGCCCTCTGTTGATCAAACTTGCTGAGCAGCTTTGACTTGTTGATTGGCTTGTTCAGAGATGCTCTAAGCAGGTGTCTTCACTCATAGGTCTGAGATCTCTAATCAAAAGGTAAGGCAAGTTACAGGAGGGCTAGAGATGTGCTGCATGTTACAGCTATAGGTTTGCAGTAAACATCCTTGGGTATGCTCTGCCAGTCGTGTGAATTCCAGATAAACTGTTCCAAAGTGGAAGTGTGCAAGAAGTGTGTTAAACATGTATTATTGATGTACAGGAAGTCCATTCCTTTGCATACTCTTTTGAAGCTTGTTCATGTAGCAATCTGAACTTGCAGGAACTTCCAAAATACGGGACAAGTTGTTGCAGTATGAGGCAGATCCGTGGCTGTCTTTTCCAGTGGAGAAAGCTGGTCTTTTCTCACTATTTTAAAATCAAGGGTGGCATCAGCTTGAATTTCAAACATACTCTGGTCACTGGAAATAGATATTGTCAGAAGTATGACTTGAAAGTGCTCTGTGAAGTAGTAAACAGTAAACAGGTAGACTGTCGCTAGAGGGCTATAGACAGAGTTAAAATTCAGACTTTTTTTCTCTTAGAGTTGGGGAGCCTCACTACAGCAAACCTGATGGAGAAGGTTCGTGGCCTGCAGAACCTGGCTTATCAGTTGGGACTGGATGAATGTAAGTGCTGTATGCAGATGTGACTGACTGCATTGCCAGTCTTCCCACTAAAACCTGCGCTAATGGTACATTTGTAGCTGGAAAAGTGTGTTTGCAGATTTTGCAAGCATCTAGTGACCTTCTGAAACAGGATAAAAGAGTGAGCTTACATCTCCAACTTCAGCCTATCTGCATGTGGTAAACCCAGGACATCCTAATGCTTTCTTATTAACACATCATTAAGCCTATATTAACACACTTCCTCCAAGTTTATTTTACTTTCAGTGCTGACATCTGTTAAGACTCTGTAAAGCATTTAGTGAAGTAGAAGTTAGACTATAACAATGTAAAACTGAGTCAAATGCAAAGATTGGCTGATGGCTGGCTTTATCAGTTAAGCTGTGGGCTTAAATGTCAGCTACCTTTGTCTTGCTCAATGGAGTTTAAGCAGAGCCTGAGTTACATTAAAGCTAACGAAGTGGTTGTTTCTGTAGCAATATTTGTTGCATGTGTTTCCTTTTATTTTTATGACAACAAATAAATATAGAAAGAAGACAAAGTGAGTGAACAATGAAATATCTGAGGTCCAACAGTGCTAACCTTTAGTCTATATTATCTGGAATCTTGAATCTTCAAGCTTTATTAAAGCTCTCCATGCTTGTAACTTCAGTGATAAGAAGTCTGTTTGCCTTTAGGCTATAAAACATTGAATGCTTTCTGCGTCATAATTTATGTGTATCTTAGGAAAATTTTCACAGAAAATTAGGTGTGGAATTTGCACAGAGCTTCTCAGGACTGTTTTTCCTCATACTTTTTTTTAAGTTTTTTATTTTACAGGCTCAGGTAAGTGAGAGAACAAAAAGAAAAATCCAAAATATATGTTCATTAAAGTTAATGTGGTTTTGGTCCAGAGGTATTGGATTTGATTATATTTTTGTGTATTGAAATGCAGTCCCCTTTTGACTTAACTGTTAATTGAAACTGGCTATCAAAACCAGGATTAAAACTGCTGCTGACCAGTCCCCTCTAGATGGCAGCATGAGGCTTCCCATAGAAGTCTTGATGCTTTTTTAATAAAACTGTACTGTTTCAGTCATGATTTGAAGTTCTGCTTCCCAATATTGCTTTTTTTGTGACGTTTCCTGATGTGAATGTGCACTGTCTTTTTTTGCAGTATTTTCAAACATTTTGTCTGTATTGAGTGTGAGAGCGTGCATCATTGTCTTAGCAGCATTTCCTCCCAACTCTCCTCTTCTACATCGTATCTCAAATCCTATATATTTTCAAAGACTTCTGTCTTCAAGTTATTGATAAAACAGCGTGCAGGACCAGGGTGATTCCTGCAGCACACCATGACAGTTATATCTATTAAGTGACTTTGTAGTTATGTTGTGAGGTCTGTTACCGAACCAGTTCAGAGCATACTTCATGTTAATTCTGCATTAAAATGCATTAAGCAAAGTGACGTGGAACTGGGTACCTTTTGAAAAGTTTGTCGAGGTGCTATTGCAATACTAAAATTGACTTCTGGGCAATTCATTTGACATGATGTAGTTTGATAAGTTAATAATTACTAAGTTACATGCCTTGTTTCTTAAATTCATATGAATGTCTTACTATTTTGTCTATTTAAGCAGGTTTTCTTGACAAATTTGGAACAAATGTATTGAATACTTTGTCCATCTTCACTGCTTTCATCTCCGAACAGTTAAATACTATTATCTGGGGTTCACTTCTGTGAAAGTTTTTATTAGGTGAAACTGAATAGACTTGCCCTGCTTGGATTGTAACAGTAAGTTCAAGGAACAGTCAACTAGAAACGTCAGAGGTGACTTTTACTGTTAGAGGTCAGAGATACAGTGAATGTCATTCAGGCTGGAATAACTCTTAACAGCTTCCTCTGGTATTTTATAGATATAGTGAGCCATATAGATAAGTGAGCACTTTGCTTTTTAAAAAATATTTCTGACTTCTGGCTGTATGATCTCCTGTACGTTCATTTCCCTTTTACTAAGGTGCAGGTTGTTAAACTGTCAATAAAAGAGGTTATTTTCCATAATTCAGAATTTCTTATTTGCACCATTTAATTTGCTGATGAATTACATTGAAGATCTTTCCTGTGAATCAGAGAGGATCTCCAAGGTGATCATGGGGAATCTCTTCTACAGCTCTCCTAGCATGCTAGTAGGTGGATTCTTGCTCACTCATGTCTGTGTTTTTCATGAGTATTCTTCCCTTCCTTAGCACAGAATTCACCTAAAGGATAGTCTTCCTTGAATGAAGTAGGATTTTTGTAGCAGGAATGATTTAATTTTTTATTTTTACTCTTCTTAAAGGATAGCTTATCCTTAGGTCTCTTGTGTATTTAGTCTTTGCTACAAGGTGGTTCTGGAGTTCTCCAGCAGCTTCTAGGCTCAGGGCCTAGTATCAATAATAAAAGCTTTTAAAAATAAATTATTTTTCAACACCTCTTCTGAGGTCTCAGATTGTTTCCTTGCCTCCTTTTTAAGCTATGTAAAATTCTACCTCATCCTCTCACTTGTTACTGCTCTTTCGGTTCTCTCACTGGAGTTTTTTCCTTCTCTTAAAGAGTTATTTGATTGGTTAGAATACACTGAAACCATTCTTAGTATTAAAAGTCTTGCTTTGTGTGGATTTTGCTGTCCCTGTTAATGTGAGTGTTGTAAGGGAGGAGGAACGGGGCTCAATGAACACACCTACTTCTAATTGTTCATGTAGTTAGGGTGACTTTGGGAGGCACAGTGTCACAGCTGATTGGGAGCTGCAGCCAGTCAATGAGTCTCAGCTCTGCTGTTGGTAGAAGTCTGAGGGGAAAAAAACCAACAAAGGCATAGACATATTGCCTCATTATGGGCTTTTTTTTCCCCTCCCTGTGTCCCTCCAGCTTTGCTTAGAGCGGGGATAGCAAGCACTGCAAAATGAGGTGACCCCAGCTGGTGTGGTAAGCAGGAGGGAGGTAGTTCTCCTCTGGGGAACCAGTCACAGGTTCTCACTCAGGCCCCCAAAGCAGCAAGTTTCACAGCAGTTTGTGTAAATAACAGCAAATTTAGATACCTGGCTCCATTTTGCCACTGTATGACCCATTACAGCTTTCAGAGCAACTGAGTCAAAATTGACTTCGGAAGAAGTTTTAAAGTCTTGGTTTCATGAGGTGGCAGCTCTGGGAAGTGCTTACATTGCTAGGAAGCAAACTTGGTGTTACGAGTCTTTTGATTACAGTTATTTTTAAAGATCTGTCCTGTCATCCTTTTGAACATACATTTTGAAACAGAGAGAGGTGTATCTGAAAACTACATACACAGAGGAAAGAATATGTTTTTTAGAAAAAGAGAAATTTAAAGGAAGTAAAATAAAAAAAAAAAGATTTTTCTTTTCCCCCCAAACTTTGGAACAAACCTATGTGTAAAAGTAACAGATTGGTAGGATGTGGAAGTAGGAAAAGCACCATGTCACTGAAGGAATGTGGTTGTCCAAGGACTTTCTGAAGACGCTGCTGTTGCTTCTCTCTGGATCGTTGATACTTTTCAGATAATGCCTGCTATGTTGGTTAAGAAGTCGTAAAATATATATACAAACCTGGTATCGCCGCCATGTTTGTAAGATCTCACTGATGTCAGAGAGATTATCACAGTATGGCTTCAGTGATATCTATAGTGCAAGACTTCCAGAAAAGCCTATTATTTTGAAGCCCTAATGCATTTGTGGAGGTGATGGTACTTTTGTGCCTTATCTGCCTTAATTATTAGAAAAAGTGGGATAGCTGACTCCACAGATGTGAATACCATTTACAGTTTCCCTAACAGTGATTTTTACTAGTTTTCTCTCCTAGATTAAATTTTTATTTGGAGATGAAGCTGTTTTGTCCTCTTCATCCTGTAAAATTAGGAATGTAACAATGACTGTATTATCCAGTGTCAAATCCTCATGCTCCTTCAAGAGCAAAGAGACAGTTACTGAACATGATCAACCAAGTCTCCCTCTTCATATTCCCTTGTGGTTTTGTGTGCCGTGGCTTTCACTGGACTCTGGCAACTCTGCTCCTGTTTTCTTTTTGATGCTGATTTATGCACTTTGAGGTGCATGTACTTTTCTGCTCTGCTTAGAATTTTCTTTGTAGCAACTGTTTGTTGTTTTTTTTTTTTTTCTTGGTTAGTTTCTACATCCCCTGCCTTGCTGAATGAATCTTCATCATGTTTCAGTTTTGCCTGAAAGCATATTTCTCCCTTATTTTGTTATTTAGTACTGTGTTTGGCAAGGACTTTATGTGAAATAACGTACTTCATGTGCTTCAAAGCTTGAAGGCAGAGTTTTATAGCAGGACAACAAAATTATGCTCTTTGGACACTGGATTTCTGTAATATGCAGTTAGCTTAAGGATTTACTTAGCAGAGTTAGTAGACTTCTCCCAGAAATTGTCTCACATTTTGGATGGTTCACTTGTGGGTTAGGAGATGATCACAGAGTTTTTCAGGAACGACAAGGTTGAAATTGTTCGTTTTGTTTTTCTTTAGTAGGAAAAAATCTGGAGGCTGTTTTCAGTTTATATTGATAGTAATTCTTGGTCCTTGCCTGATTGTTTCAGAGCGGTGAAAACAAAACTTACATTGTCTGTTAAGGTGTTTATATGGCCCTGTCACCGTGATGTCCAAGCTGCTATGATTTCCATGTGAAACCTTGGCCTTTCTCCCAATTCTCTTTATACCTTCCTCCCACACTGTAGATCTGCTGCTTCATTTTAATGCACAGCGCTACGGTAAGAGATGCTCTGCATCTGCAGGGGGACGAGGAAATCACCTCTCCTTATACTGCTCACTGGATGGCTTATTTACAGACAGGATTCTTCTGGGGCAGCTCCTGTTGGAAAAGACATCAGAATGCTGGCTTGAAATTGCCATTCATGTGTGATCTGTGAATTGGCTAATTTTGACATGTAGGTAGTTAAGAAATGATTACAGTCAGAGGAGTCATGACCTCAACTTTTCATCATCTCCATTGGCTTG